CATTGATATTGAATATTCTCATAGAGAGTCACTGTGCATACTATGAAATATAAGATAATATTCACGGAAATTCTTCAACGAAGGTCCTTTCACACTGAAAACTTTCTGTGAAATAAAGCTTGGTTTATCTTGGTTAGAATATGTCATATTCATTAAATATAATGCTTTAAACTGCTTCTTCTTTTTGCTATTCAGTACACCACTACGAGGCGAAAAAAATGAAGTGATCGTTTATGTTGTCATACAGGTGTGGTCGGTTTCGAGAACTTTCTCACGCCAGTCTTAGTCTACACCCTCTTCCCACCACCATTTATTCCCATCCTACCCCCAAGCAGAAAAGAACATTGTCTCTGAGAGGAAATGAGCGAGAGAAAGATGGATGAAGGTGTAATTTTTCAAAAGAAATATTTTCACAACAATATGTATTTTATTATTATCCTGTCCAATCTAGTTGTTTAACAATGAGAAAATTAGAAGAGAACTGATCACACATGTTGTGAATTTCGACACGTGCGTTTCATATGGTGATGATGATGATCATTGTGTTGAAGGGTATACAAGCTGTGAAGAAGGACGAAAGGATGCATATGATTACTTGAGCATTGAATCTATTTCTTTGCATCCTACTCTAAATTCTCGTACTACTTTCTCATATCTCTAGGCAGACTTTGTTCGCATATTTGGTAAAAAAGCGTATATTACTAATCGTAACACTATGATAGTAATATTATAATTGTTATTAGTAGTAGCAATAATACCAGCTGTCGGTCATGCCTATTGGATCCCAGGCTGAATTTGACCGCTACTCCAGATCACACACACGTTCACAGAAGAACTTTTTAGTGTATATGGTTTTAAGTGAGAACGTGTGGAAGTCTACGAGACGCGTGCAGGTGTACAAAATTCCCTTCATAACCAACTCTAACAACATCGACGAAAAGGTGACAAGATAATAATGATTAAAAAAAATATGTTTTTTGATCAGTTACTACGCTTTCCCTTTCCCTGCTTTGTTGTTTACTATCTAATCTATCATGCAACTAACTGTTCGCATAACAATAAATATCGTGTAATCATATTTAACTGCAAGGGTACAGAATTTGTGGTACCTCTCCTGTGCTCATTCATGTGTATGTGGGAGGGGGGGGCTGTATGCAAAAAAGAAACATCACCATATGGACTAAAAAAGTAGTAAGACGGATAATAAGAAAAATAAAAATGTATTTACATCATTCTGGGAAAGACTTAATCTTTGTCTTGATAGTTTCTTTCTTTCTCTCTCGCGCGCACACATATACATACACTCATTAGAGTAGGATTATTAGAGAAAACTAAGATAAAGTTTATATCGAAGATTTTAAGGTGTTAAAATAATAAATTATCCCACATGCTTAAAAGTCTGGTTTAACGTCAGTTAAAATTATATCACACCATCTATGATATGTGTCAAACACGAGCGACACTCTAGCAGCAAAGGAAATAACCAATTAGACTTCTCTAATTCATCAAAATCTGCCTTTCCAGGCAAAATGGCGAAACCTGATTGATTATTTCGGTCGCTATTAGGGTGGCCTTTAAAGTGAATGGTCAAATACACCTATTTGAAGTGGAATATATCAAGATTTTGAATTAGCTGACGCCTTCAGCTTATTCGAGGTCTACCACAGGATATTATTCAGCTAGACAACAGTATTTCACAATAATAGGCATCATGAAGCAAAGTTTCCCTTGCCTGCAAACATGTTTCTGGTGAATGAATAGCTACAAATCGATCCCGATAAATGGGGTGTAAGTAATAGGCTTCTCTAGGAGATTAATGTGTATATACAAGAATAATATTGTTAACTGTATTGAACATTGCGGGATTTGAATAAACTGTAGCTTGCCTCTTTGCACTGAACTCTATTCAATGAACTATGGCATCAAACTGCAAATAAAACGATTCCTTGTGATTTCAGTTAATTATAGGTTCATTCCACTGTGATTTCATTATACCGTCTGTAATTATTTTTCCACCTTTAGATGGACTCGAACATCGACAAAAGAAGTTGTCAGAGTCATGATCAACGAACACTTAGATATTTGTTACAAGTATGTCAGACAGATAAAATGCTGGATGACTGAAGTGAAACTGAGAGCAGATTATCGGCTGGGTCTCAGAGATCATTGTCAGATCAGTGGTTAGAATTCTGCTGTTATCACTGAGTTTTGTCAACTTGAATCATCCATCATCTCCAGTATAGACATTTATGAAATTTTGTGACAAAATGGTGTTATAGTTATATTTTTCACAGTTTATGAACTATGCTTTTGAAAAAGCCGCCCTACTTAACATCATGTGTTCAAATCTTTCAAAGGAAACATTAGTTCCTTTGTGATTGTACAGCATTTCGTGTCAGTTTTCATTGGAGAGACAGGATAACTATGCTGACTTTACAACTGTTCTATCAGATGAATTCTTATGAAGTTGGTTAAAATTAGGAACAGCTACTTATTAGATGGTTAGAGGCAATCGGTAAGAAGCGCTAGACTTAGGTTTTCTGCTTTTTCACACACTCATCTGCACGGGCTATCTACAAGTTTGAGGGAACTTGTATCCCCTGAAAGATTAAAACCCTAACCGCTCAGTGCTGCAGTCAGAGACGTTACCACTGAGCTAGTCAGTATATACTGGAAGCATAAGTCGATTAGTTTTTGAAATTAAAAAAGTAAAGTTTAGAAGAGAATTATCAAGAAATTATTAAACTGAGTGTTATTCAGGACTGAGCAAACAATGTTACCCGATGTGAAATGTTAAACAGTTTCTGCCTTTGAAATTTGTCTATCAGCCTATAAATACATAAGAGCCTGTTGTCCTAATTTAGTCTAACAAACTCAATCGATCCTACAGATCTTCTTGGATTATCTCAGATTACCGTCAACTTTGGTGCGTTGTTTCAACTGTCGATAGTCAAAACAGATTTTTAACTGCTCACCATCAACATTCGCAACACTGGAAAAATTTACGGTGATCAGGTTGGTTCACTTTACCATCTAAAGTTCTAAACTGGCATTGTTTTGAACTTTTCCAAAAAAAGCCCAAGTTACTGGTAAACAAATAAGTTACTAGGTGACAGTATGTCTAGAAATAGATGCGTAGTTTCCATACATTTTAAAAATTACACAGTCTCCTTCATTGCTAATCACATCTGCTTGGTTTTCTAACTTACCAGCTCCCATTCCAACAAGGTTTACACTACTTTTAAATAGTAGAAATCACAGGGTGTTTAGTGTAGTAGTGGTAACACGTTGGCGGCATGACCTGCTTCTCAGTTGATTTCAGTTCATGCTGGAAATGGCTTTATAAAACTAATGAGTTGCCAGAATGAACTTGGGTTGCCTAATTCATTTCATACTGTCCGATTCTATAGCAGCCAGTTAGTCAGATCTAGTTGATCTGAACATTTTGGACATGTGGACCGATTTTGTTCAGTTTTGCTATTGATGAGCTTGTCCCTGAACCAACCAAATAACAGTCTGCTCTAGGTCTTATCTTCAGATCAGGTTGGCAGACGCTGAACCATTCGTGTTACACAACAATATATTTTGATAGTGTGTGTGTGAAAATCATTAAATGAGTGCTTTCTCAGCCTTAAATGATGTCTAATAACTGAACACTTGTTAAATGATGTTGCACAGTAACTTCTAACGTATTCAGCTAGAAATATCATCGGTTTTTTTTAGAAATTTTAATCACTACACCAACAAAAAACTATTTGTTACATAGATATGTCAGTTGTTGCATACACTAAGGTGAGAAATATTCTTCAAATATTGTTGAAAGAACTCAATGCATTTCTTGTTTGCGTCACCAGATTTGGACTTACAGCAAACAAAGTTCATTTTCTGAAAAAATGCAATGAACAGCAGGAATGCCTTAAAACGTATTGGAAGATACTTTGTTGTCATTGTGTGAATCTAAACTTTAAAACTTGAAAGGGTCATACGCACTGAATAATCATATCCATTTTGAGTACTTCACCAACTGGACACCAACCTCATTACAGGATTTACGTAATTTCAGATCACCCCTTATGAAATCAAAGCCAAACCAGTTATGTCAGCTAAGCAAATAACACTGGATTCAAGTGAAAGAAAATTAGAATATTTTTTGTTGACCTGACCTAAACCTATAATGATGTGAGCATGGTCATATTGATTAACAGGCAGTCTATATCAATAAAATGCAAGATGCTGTCTCAGATGACTTAAACTTCTGGAAACTTGAACGTAGAATGGACAAAACGGGGAAAATTCTGTCCCATCCATACTACACTTTACTTTTCAAGAATTGATGGTCCTCAGTTGGAAAATCATCACCGATTTGTGAGTAGTGTTAATCAAGGATTAAGGTCAACTATAGAACTAGTGAACAAAATAGAAGTTGGATAGCTATTTTTTCCTTGCTTGGAATCCTATTGCATTGTATACACGTGGTAAATTAAATTTCGTGATGAATGCGCTACTATTGAGTTGTTGAATTTGAATTCAATGATCCACAGTTTAAACATTCTGTCAACATGCAATCTGACACCATCATCATACAGTGTCATTGTTGGATGTCCACCTCCATGAAACACTTATCTGATCCCATAGGTTATGGCGATCTATCGAAGCTTCGAATAATCACTCCCGAGACTAGTGTATTTTAAGGCAACTGGTTCATTTTCGAGTTTTAGCTTCATTACAAAGTGATGAGGCATCCGTTGAGACAAAGTATAGATAAATCCACACTATTTGACTAAACAACGGGGAATTAAAAGTGTAGAAAAAAGAATTCAGTGGGCAGTTAAGACTAGACAATAGGAAATCGGCTACTTTCCAGTGATCAATCCATGTTTAGTCAGTAACCCTTTGTGACGAGAAATTTTCTCGTCGTCTAATCACTCTACCGTTGCCAACATGATCCGCTGAGATAATCAGTGAGCAGGTTAGCGAAACTATTGTCCTGGTCTTTTCAAATGGTACAAAGTATCGCTCAGAAATGTATACTTAACCAAAATACTGCTCAAAAATTCCGGCGTATGCAAATTATACGTCCAGTTCTGGGAGTGACAATAATAGTTACAGCAGTTTGCGGGGGTATTGAAAATCAACTTCAGGTAGAAGAAGAAGAAATACCTCCAGTTTTCTTAAACATGCTAAGAAATAATTGTCTGAACAAGATGGTACTTTCAACCAATAAATACGGTACTCAGTGCTCATAATTTTTCATATACTATTTTCTCCAAAAACAGTTTTAGTTGAAGTGTATTGGGTGTCTGTAATAATCATTAGGGGGCTTTTTTGGTGGCTATCGGTAACAAAGTATATGTGCAGTATTGATGAGACTCGTGTTCTCTCAGAGATTCAAACCCTCATCACTTTGGAATTAATTCAAGGACTTTTCTATCAAGCTAGTAAGACAGTATCACTTCATCCTGCCTCATGAACACATCACACACTGAATCAATAAAGCTTGACGGGTAATTAATAGCTACATCCAAACGGTCTTGGCTTACAGGCTGTTCTCTTCGATATCAGAGATGTCGACAGCCTTTTAGCTAAAAAGCCTGATTTCCAACATACACTTAAGTGACATAACAGTAAAAATATATCTTTTGTGAGAGATACTGGCATAGAAGGTCACACTTAAAATTACTTTCGAGGCTGTTCATTCGTTTTGGTCCGGAAACAGTGCCAAACTGTTCATTAAGTGCTAAACGTTTACTGATTATGGTTCTTGGCTAGGATGGTCATAAACGGCTGCCAGAATTAACGGTGCGGTGAGCGTGACGTTCAAACACAACACTTCTTCACCAAGGTCAAATTCATCTCCAATAAACAAATGAATCTGAACTACACTGAAATCGAACACAGAATTCGAAGACTGCCCGTTCAATTCCGCCTGCAAGGCAGGGTAGATTACAATTCGTAATGTGAATATTGTTTTGTCAATCTATGGAACTATTGCAATACACCATACGGAACATATTACGACATCATGTTACAGTCAAGGAATGCACTCGTTAATTTGAAGCAGACAACTCAGAGTAAGGAAACTAAAGTGATGTATTCCTTTGGGAAATATGAATTTTTTCTTCAGACTGCAAAACAGATGGTTGGACATTTAGCCAGCCATAATTTCATTGATTAGTTGCCTATTGTAAAATGTTTATGTAAATGAGAAACCTTGAAACAACTGACTACTACAGAGTGGTAAACAAATTCTTCAGATCTATGGGTCTTAGTTATTTGTATTCAATGTCCAACAGACGAAAACGATTTTGGCCACTGAATTTCAAAACAGTACTACTTCTCGAATGAATCTGAACAAGTTTACTCTCTTTTGGAATGTATAAGCAGTTATGTAGTACCTTTACTTTGTGTCTGTTGATTGACAGAAGATCAATTTCGACAGGCATTTGCTATCCCATGGGATTGCGTGAGATGACAGCGTTGATTATGAGACTGACAAAAAGGGATACTGATTGACTGGAAACCTGAATTGTAGCAAGACTCGAACTAACAGCCTGTGTGATGTCAAATTAGAAATCTACTCGGAAGGTTATCAGACCTAGCTACTTTTGAGGTTATGCTAAACGGAAGTCAGTCATTTCCCTACGAATCTCCGAGCTGGATAAGGATCTGATGTGTGCTAGTGACTTGCTTTGACTTGAACTTCCTTGTGAGAAGCCATGACGTGTGTGGTCAACCAAGTCGAGCTTCAGGACAAACAGTCACCAGTAGCATTGGAAGATGGTGGGGCTACGTAATGAATAGACAGGAGTTAGAAAGCGTGAGGAGGTGCATTCCAACCCAGTTACTGAGTGGCGATGTGCTCGCTGTGAAACCCAAGGGTCCTGGATTAGACACCTTGGTGGTTTTGGGTGAATACTTCTGAGGAGTCCTAAAGTAGGACAAAACAGTGGCTCATGGCTTCCATGTTTGAAATGGCTCTGTGGCTGGTGTTTAGTATGTTAATCTACGTTGAGAAATTTGTATTTACTGGTTTATGCATGAGCTAGTCAACAAAATGCCTGCACACTTCATTTTTATTTTTTGTTATTTGACATCAATTTGCTATGAATATTGTCTGAAGTGATGTGTTGACCTAGATGTAATCAATTTAGTTGACTTATTAGATCTATCACACACTGGAACAGTATTATTTACTGGATTACAACTTCAACAAAGCGTGATCAACTGCCTTTCGACAATGCATGAATACTCAAATGAAGAAGTTTAATAAATTAATGAAAGAATAGTATCCAGTAGAGCATAAGGAGATTCTCAACAGCAGATAACCAGTCATCGATAAAACAAAGGGGGTTGTCAATCTCTTAACTAGGGTCTTAGGCTCAAGGAAGTAAAGGTGCTGGAGAAGGGGCTTAACTTCATTATAGCAGTTAATGAACTGAAACCTGAAGATGTCATTCCTGAAACTGAAATACCACTAATTAAGTTCAGTAGATAAAGCATCAGTAGATGAGGTGTTAGCACAATGTGGTCTGACACTTGAACGTCAGAAGAAAATGAAATAGAACTTACCAAAAGTAGGAAGATCTGACAAGAGAAAATTCAGAGCCTCTGCATTATTATCATACAAGGAAGGTACCTCAGAGACATTACGTAAGATTCTCAATAAACCTAGGATTCTAGTGGCATTTAAACCTACAAACTCACATTCATAAGCTTTGTAGGTTAAAAGATCTTATTAATCCAATTAGGCACGATAATTTAGTTTACCCAATGATTGCGAGGTCAAATACATAGGTCAAAATAGTCGACCAGGGTCATTTAGGCTATTCGAGCACAAAAAGTTAACTAGGTCAAAGCAAGGAATTCAGAAAGAAGCTCAATCATAGGTGTGCATGCATTTACACACAACCATACAATGAGTGAAAATCCTTACAACTAACGTAGAAGGGTGGGGAGGGAGATTGATAACGGAATCTTTGTTTATCAAATCAACACCTAATACATGCAACAGGAATGACTTAACACCTGTTCCGGACATGTGGAAAATCCTCCTACCCATATTACAGAGGAGGCGGGAAATTAGAACTGTCTAAAGCAGATCTCAACGTTGTGGAGTTATCTTGATAGGACTAGAGACAATAAATTGTATCCGAAAGGTAATCCAGTTCCCTCACTGTGTTATAAATCAACTGAAATGGGATTCCATATTAAATTTGTTTATTTGATATAAAGCGCACAGTGATACAGTATTATTTACTTGATTACGTTTCGAGCATAAATTATTGCTCATAACTGAAATGGGATTTGGTATTATATCCTACCACAGCGGCCAAGTTTTACTCTTATACTGAATTTGATCAGTTTGCCTTGTTGTGTCATTTTGGCAAGATTTTCAAAGAATGAAAAAACATGTTTGATGAATCCAAGAGTTTATGTGCATTAAATGCTAAGGAGTTATTTGACAGAAGACCTTAAACCTGGGTTCGACACAACAAAAGGTTCATTGTCAAAAACAGTGTACAGTCTGAAGGGAACTTTGTTCACTCCTAGGTTTGGACCACCTTTATTCAACACTGAAGTCACAGAATAAACATAAAACCATTCTAGTGGAATTCAAACACTCAATTAAGAAGCTGACCGTAGACCATGTAAAATTTAAAGAGTTGAGGGATAGTTGATGAAACAGACCTAACCCTGCTTGACTCTATCCTTCACAAGGTGTTGGGTGTATATTCCTGACCAATTTCAAAACAGGAGGAAACAGATGTCTAATGATCCCACGTTTTCAACTCTTCTTGCTAAATTTAATAATTTCCTACAAGCTAACAGCTGAATTACTATTCAGTGGTCATTACGAACTTATTTCGAAACTAAGCACATTACACCATAATGAGGCTTAAGGCAATATTCAGGCTTCGTTCAATACGTCAAAATGTCAGCAGAAACCGATCAATTCATTACAGTAGGACCACCAACTGAAAGAGATCATTGAACTACGCTACCATATTTAAGCTGCCTGGACGTAGAACTAACTATGTTGGTGTTCATTTGATATACATCAGCCTTATTTCTTTTTCGAAATGCTTATGAATAAAGTCATGTCAGTTTACATAAAGAACTTCGCTTCTGAGAGACTGCAGTTTTGAGTTAATCAATTCTAAATGAGCAGAAAACAAACACATTTGAATTCCAAGTTGGTATTCATCATAGGCTGGCATCAGTTGAAGAGACATTGGAAAATTGAGAGCACTGGGCAGCTGTTCTGCTCTATTATGGGACTCCACAGTCGTACAAATCCATGACCAGCAGGGGTGTCAACCCTTAATGAATATCAGCCTAAAATCAGCAAATAAATTACACAAACCTCCACATTTGCATTCTTTGGGAAATGTAAGTTTCAACCTATTATACGTGGACTAACCAATGCTGAAATTTTCGATTGCAGTTTAAACCTGATTGAAACATCCTTTTTTGAAGTTTACTCGAACCTAAAATAATATAAATTACTAAAATTTATATTTACCAGTCTATCAGTTGTCAGACTCCATGTCTATCCTACAAGCTTAATCAAACCTCAGGAAGGCGAATTGTAAAACCATTGTAATGGTTAATGTTGACAACCCCATTTAGGAAAAATTAATTGCGAACTCCGACAACTACATGCTTAGCTAAGACCAGAGAAAGCAGTACACCGAGAGTATTGCGAAGACATACGTACTTTTCACTGTCTTATTAAAGTTGATTAAAATGGCCATGAAAAGTCTTGGCTGGGTGGATGGTATTTTAGGATTTGTCCTGGTGCAAACTTGACAGAAGCAAAGACCAATCACTAATTATTCGGACTTGTTATATACCCACGAATACGAGACCAAGGAAGAACACGATAGCGTAGTCGGTGGAATAGTATATTTGGATGGTTGTGCCAAAATACCGATGTGTTCCAACTAACTGGCTAGAGAGTCGAATACGAGCAGTGCAACGTAACACGACAGCGTGCCAAATGGCGAGGATGCTTGACCGGGTGCCTTCAGCTTAGCGAGTCCAGTTAAACTATCAAGGTTAGCATCAATGTCGAAAGTCGTCAAACCCTAGGCTATTGATTTTGGGGAAGTGTGTGACGCTACAGTATGATCACGATGGACGATTAGTTACACCGAACACAATCATGTGACAGACAGGCGAACCCCGGATTTTCATTTTAGGTTCTAACATCGCCATAGTTTCTTGCAAAATCAATAGGTGATGT